GGGTGGGTAGGAGTTTATTAATTTATTTATTTTTGGCTGCGTTGGGTCTTCATTTCTGTGCATGGGCTTTCTCTAGTTGTGGCAAGCGGGGGCCACTCTTCATCGCGGAGCGCGGGCCTCTCACTGTCGCGGCCTCTCTTGTTGCGGAGCACAGGCTCCAGACGCGCAGGCTCAGTGGTCGTGGCTCACGGGCCACGCGGCATGTGAGATCTTCCCAGACCAGGGCTCGAACCCGTGTCCCTTGCATTGGCAGGCAGGTTCCCACCACTGCACCACCAGGGAAGCCCCGAGCAGAGCTCTTTGAGGTGACACGTAGCTTGCTGCCAATGTCGCAGCTCGTGAGGTCTCTGCCCCTCTGGACAGTGGGCACTGCAGTCTCTGGCATGCTTGCTTCTCCTCAACCAGGTTTCTAGCCACAGCATTGTGTCATCCCTGGGTGACCTAGGTGATTTGATTGAAGTTCTCTTTACGTTACAGGAAAGAACGTGTATCTCAGAGCAAAAGTTATTTTCTAGGCCTTGAATTGCTTCATAATAGTAAAATAAAATCAAGTCGTTTTGTACTTTTCTAAGTGCTTCCTCATTTGCTCAGTTGTATCGTGGTGAAAGTGAGGCAGGTTCTGGGGCATCTGTACAATTCCTGCCATGTAACCTGTATGAGTGACTTTTTCCCTGTTGGGTTTTCGGATCCACTGCAGTTCGGAAGGGGTTAGACTTCCCATTGTACGCTAGGCCTTGCAAGGTCCTTCAGCTTTCATTCTTTAATTTGTTCAAATTGAACCGCTGTAGTTCAGTGTATATTGAGATTTTCAGAGACTGTTAGTACCAAACACTATGCTGCTGGCATGGTGGCAGCTGGAATACAAAGTTATTTGCTGTTTGGTAGGGGGAACCAATTCATATTTGCAAATAGCAATTGTAAAGATGAGTTGGAAATAGAGTTTTAAGAAGTTTGGAAGATTGCTGTTAGCGCTCGGAGGAAGGAGAGGTTTGTTTTAGGAAGGGGAGCTTGTATGTCACGCAGGAAGAGCTGAGAAGCACCGCCCCCCCCCCCCCGCC